GGACTCTGCTGGAGAAAGGTGGTACTTCTCCAGCTCCCAACAATGACATAGCCGGATGCTATTTTTCTTTTTGCTGAATGAGTTCTAGGAAGCCACTTCGTTTCAAGTTAACTCTCAACCACCCTCGGTCAGAAGTGATAATTTTAAGGGTTGAAGGGTACTTCCCCCTTCCCAATGAGTGATAGAATGCAAGGGATAGTAATGGGGGAAGGGCCTTAACTTACCGTTAGGACAGATTGGTCACGACTCCGCCTCTCTACATGGTGCCTGCGCATCTATTGCATCTTTGTTATTTTTCACCGCTGTCACAACAAATCCCATGACGTTTTGTGAAGCTTTTACTCTTGACCATTACCAATGTTGTTCTGGATATATCTGCACATCTAGTGACCATGGATAATCACCACTTTTCAAGGTGGATTGAGGGAAATTTTGAGTCCACTACTTTTTTAGGCATTCAGACACCCTATATAGGGATTAGGGCGACATTCGGACAAACCCAATGAAATATGGAACAAAGTGAATAAAAAAAATGCGCTCCAATTTCTCCATACCTATTGAAAGTGGGACAATATCTGTGTTAAATTTCATACCGTTTACCATTTTTTCATGTCCATAATGTTCATTCTCATTTGAAATATTCCTTAAATTGTGTTATGAGATGTTTCTTTTGAAGATCTTAAATCCTGTGATCTCAGACAGCATTTAAATGAGTTCTTGTTTTAACAGGTCTCACAGTGATCAGTCCAGCGTGTGGCTAATAAAATGAAATTAACCTGTTGATGTGGTTGATCAAAGGTTTTCAAGAATTAACAAGGCAGAGTTAGCTTTTCCCCCATTGGTTCAGTTTGGTTCAATTATCTTTTTTCTCTTAATAAATGAAATAGTTGTTTAAAAATTGCTTTTTGTGTTTACTAATCCAAAAGATAGACAAGAAAACCCTGAATTTGTGTATGCTGCATAATAAAGGGAAAATGAATTAGCTATTCTAGCCACACTAATAATAATATGCTCAGGGGAAACAGAGTAGTTCTTGCAGGCAGTTTTCCAGCAGAACAAGGAGCTTATCTGTGTCTGTGGCACCCGATCAGGGCACATGTGGGGGAGTGATGGGATCAGTCAGATAAGCCTGAAATTACACAGCATTAGAGGGAAAACATGGTTTGGAGGCTGGGAAAGCTGAGTCATCGAGTCAGAATTGAAACTAGTCACAGGTTAAGTTGCTGCATCATTTGAAGGTTTTGAAAACAATATCAGAATAAAAATCTGATTCTGATAGGCTCTATTGCTGAATATAAAAGGAAAAAAGGCGTCAATTTTTGAGTTTAGTTTTAAATTTTATTATAACAGGTCAAAAAAAGGAAAACCTTCCAAAACTGCAAACAAATGAAGGACATAAAACTGCACCTTAGATACTAAGACTCAATGTGAAGTATAATCTGGTGTTTTTTTTTATATACACACACACAGTTAAATAAATCTAGATTCATTCAAACTCCCTGAATTTCTCCATGACATCTTTCTTGAGGATCTCTCACTGAAGCTATTTAAGTCCAATCCTGTATCTTTATGGTGTGACCTGTTTGCAGGGTGTTTGTGCACGTGTGTGCAACTAGGTGGCCCACGTGTTTTCATTCAGACTATCATGTGCTGCTTCATGGTTCTCTAATGTGAGCGTGAATAAACAGCCTGATTAATCTCCTCACTCTTTCCAGCCTCATCCATTTTTATGGACATGTAGCATTATTTATGTCCTTTAGCTGTTTTACTGCTTAAGCATTAAAGTTTTAGAGATCTAATCATTCAACCTAGGAAAAATAACCAAATTGCAACACCAAGAACAAACTAAATGCACCAGAATATGTTATCAATGTAAGATTTAAATTTCTAACATACTAAGAAGATTATCATCTGCAAAGATACTAATTTGCCAGTAATTTTGGTCTATTTGTTAGAAAAGAAAGATTTTTTTTTTTTAATGCCAGGATGCATTTTCGGTGCTCTGCCCTCCTCCCACTGTTTAACAACATGACTAATAGGGTAATTGGTATCTCTGAAATAACCTTAGACACTGCATGTGTACCTGGTTGTTAGTCCAGTATGTCTCTGTGTTGTCATTGTGATGGATTGGTAACCTCTCAGGGGCGTGCCTACCCTTCCTTGAAGTATTCGTTAATAATAAGGAAATGCTCATAATCACATTTTGTTAAATGCTAGTTATTGTTTTTCTCATAGTCTCTGCCCTTTTGGAATAACTCCCTACTTCCTTTCCCAGAAGATGCTCCCAAGGCATTCGGCATCCCGCTTTCCCAGGCGATTGCCAACGACCAGGCGTACAAGCGGCGTCAGGACGCCCTGAAGGAGAGTAGGCGCGACTGTCTGGACCTGGAGGCCAGCGTCTTGCGCTTCAGAGCTGAGAAGAGGCAGTTCTTCAATGGGAACAAACCTCTAGGGAGCTCGTCGTCCATCACAGGAGGAGGGCCCGGCTCACCGTCTGCAAACTCAGTTGCTCCAGCACCGTGTTTTGATACCCAGAGCAAACCGCTGTCGCCCACGTTTATGGACAACACCAGCAGAGGACAAAGAAGGGTGAGATGGATTTTTGTTCTTTTTAAGTTCAACAACTGAGGCGTGCATAAGGACTTCCATTAAACTAAAGTCACAAAAGCCTGAGTATTGCATATTTCTGCAGATCGTAGATGTTGTTACCTTGCAAACAAGATGTATTGTTGCAAGATTTGTGAATTCAGAAACTCCCAAAAATCATTTTGCAGGAAATGAATAGATTCATTGTTGATATCTTACATGTCATGTGTAAAACGTCAAACAGAAGAATCAAAACAAACATGGCTGCCCCATTTTAGCTGAAATACACTCTATTGCTGTTTTTGCTAAACTAACAAAAGGACACAATTTGTGCCTTTGTGGATGAGAGAGAGTTTGAATGTTCCTCCCGACTGGATGTGGTTAGAGTTTGATTTATCTGTTAACTTCTTGAGTTGTGAAACATTTCAAGAATTGAATACATCACAGCTGCTACTGCTGCTGTGATTGGCTAACAGCGTGACATGGGAGGCATGTGCCAGTTGGTGATTTACCCATTCAGCTTGAAGAATGTGTACCAAATGTCCCTTTCTTTGGCGAACTCTTTCCACGGGAGCTTTTCCAGAAAGAATTCAAATTGAACTACATAGAACAATCTGACTTATGCCAGGTTAGATGTTTTGGGTTGTGTGCTAAAGCATAAATCCTCCTCATTCATAGGTAACTAATAGGAAAGTTCCAATACAACTTTTTTTTTTTTTTTTATTTAGATACAATACAGATATTGGAGCTTTTAGTGTTGACCAATACCAATGTTGACCCGTTACAATATAAACATCAATCGTACAAATGTTTATTGCTTATTTTGTAGTGTGGAATGTTAGAAAGGTCTTGTTCAAATTCATAAAGAGAACAAAAATTCATCCATCCATTATCTGACACGCTCGTCCCAATTGGGGTCGCTGGTGCCTATCTCCAGCAGTCAATGGGTGAGAGGCAGGGTCCACCCAGGCAGGGTCCACCCTGGACAGGTCGCCAGTCCATCGCAGGACAACACAGAGATAAACAGAACAAACAACCTTTCATGCACACACAAGGACCAATTTGAGAAGCCAATTAACCTAACAGTCATGTTTTTGGACTGTGGGATGAAGCCAGAGTACCCAGAGAGAACCCACGCATGCTCAGGAACAACATGCAAACCCCATGCAGAAAGACCCTATATAGCGCCGATTCATAACTCATGTCATCTCAAGGCACTTTATAATTAACCAGATCATACAGTCAAATTGAGTCAAAGCTTACTATCTAAGGAAAACAAGTTGATTGCATCGACTCATTGACTGGAAGGCAATCCCTCACACTAAGCATGCTTGTAGCGACAGTGGAGAGTAAAAACTCCCTTTAAACAGGAAGAAACCCCCAGCAGAACCAGGCTCAGTTTGAGCGGCCATCTGCCGAGGCCGACTGGGGTTCAAGGAAACAGAAGCAGAGATACAAAAAGCCTGGCTGTGTGTTTCCTTCCAGGAAACACACAGCCAGGCAGACAAGTTCTGATCTAGCTCCCATGTCAGAGGATGAAGAGAGCACATCCAGCCAGTCACAGTCAGAGAAACAGGACTACACTGAAAAACAGGCCGATCTCCAACATCTATAAACAAAGATGTTGATGGCAGCAGCACAGCTGATATTTCTCTCCAGGATGGAGTCACAGCCAAACAGGAACAGACCAGATTAAGCTACTATGAGAAAAAGCAGAGAGAGCATAACGTCTGCAGAGTGGGAGAATAGAGATAGAATGAAGGAGAATGATGAAATAGTCAACAAAAATAGGTATGACAACATCTGACCCGTTTATTATTAACAAGTGGGTGACATAAACTTGAAATAATATTGTTTCAGTCAGCTTAATTATTACAAAAAATTTTAGATGCAGGTCAATGCACTCCAATATTGTTTTCTTGGCTGCTATAGGACCGATTGCAGATATCAATACCGGACCGGGTCATCCCTTCTTGCTGAGGTGTGCAGAATACACCTCAGAAAGACTGTGACTGTATCTGCCTGGATGGACTTTAAAATTAAAAATTTTGCCTTTACTTTACTTCTCCATGTCACGTCTCCTTTATTCATCGATTCTTCTTTACATTACCAGGTGGAAACATTTTTTTTCCCAAGCAAAGCTTACATTTACATTTTCTCAGAGGTGCATTACAGGCATATAAAATATTAGGCAAATTATAAGATTTAGTGTTTTCTATGGACTTAGTCTATTTTACTAACTACTCTTACTAGCCATTGTCCTTCTAACTTAGAGGGAAGTTTTTAATCCACTTTTCCAAAGAACATTGTTGGAATTCATTTTTGCACAGCTCTGGGTTCTGAATAGTAATATAAACACTGCATCTCTGAGTTTATTGTTTTTTAGCTGTTGTGTTAAAGATTTGCTTGTGTGCTTTGGTTGCCGACTGGTTACATGTTCTTTCCAGAAGTCAATGAATCCATGCTGGGTTTCCTTCAACAGAAAGCTTTTAACTAATCTGTCTGTAGGATTTGATAGAAGTGACTGTGAAGTGCCTTATGATAATGTGTTGGGACTTAAACAAAATTATTTGATGTAAATTTAATAGCCTACTTTATTTAAATACAAACAACAGACAAATAAAAAAGATCACTTAATAATTTCGAATGGAATTTAAATGTTTTGTAACTCATATGGGTTTTAATGATTATATTGGACTCTAAAATAAAAGGCTCATTGTTGGCTCAACAGCCGCAAGGTGCCCTGATCTTCTTTCTACAAAATATGCCCACATCATCACCCCCCCAGCACTGTGCTCATGAAGTTTATTTCCCAATAAGCCGTAATGAATTTTGGAGAATATTCTACTGGCATCACTTCTAAACTTGATATTTTAGTTTAAGAACAACAGTTTAAAGAGTAATGCTCTTAAGTGTACATTTTAATTTAAACAATCTCTCTGCACCATGATGGATTTCACAATGTTTTCATTCCACAGTGATAACTGGTAGCTCTCTAAGGTCATTTCATAATTTCCTTCTCCTTTTGACGTTTATGCTCCAGACAAGTAAAAAACCAAAACCTGATTTTATTTGTTTATCAGATTTCTTGCACAGCTTTCAGCACTTATTAGCCACCAAATTCTTTTGTTTCCTCCTCTGCGTTGTTGGTCAAACTTAGTCAATGTGGACCCTCCATGATGAAATCTATCTCACCCATTAATTCTGTTCATGCTGATCTGCAACCAGTTGTTTTGTTAAGCTTATAATAAGTATCATTACAGCCAGAGAGGACAGCAATTGAGCATGAACCAGCAATCAAGTGTAGCTTTTTAGAGCCTTATCAGGGAGGGAAACATTACACAGGCGTCCTGACTGGGAGCATTTGGAAGGCATAACACCAGAATTTAAGACTAATTGGTTTAATTTAGTCTCATTTAGTTCCCAGATCTCAGTCGCAAGAAGAGAAACCTGTTTTCATGAATAAAAAAAACACAGTAAAGATGACCCTACAAAGTACATTGCTCATAAAATAAATGGACACTTAAATGTCACATCTTAGATCTCAATGGATGAAAGATTCTCATAGAATACTTTGTTCTGCAAAATGTTGAATCTGCTGATTACAAAATTAATCAATGGAAATCATTTTTTTTTAACCAATAAAGGCCTGGATTAGGAGTCGCACACAAAAATAAAGCGAAAAAAAAACAAAAATCTACTCTGATCCAACTGTGCGGCCCTCCAAAGAAATGCTACCCCACACTATTACTGAACCACTTCCAAACCGCTCATGCTGATCGATGTTGCAGGCAGCAGATCACTCTCCACGGTGTCGCCTGACTCTCGCACATGTGCTCAGTGTAAACCTGCTTTCATTTGTGAAGAGCACAGGGCACCAGTTCCGAATTTGCCAATCCTAATGTTCTCTGGCCAATGCCAAGCTTCCTGCACAATGTTTTGCTGTGAGCTAAACCCCCATATGTGGATGTCAGGTCCTCATACCATCCTCATGGAGTCGTTTTCTGACTGTTGCATGTTTGTGGCCTGCTGGAGGTCATTTTGCAGGGCTCTAGCAGTTCTCCTGTTCCTCCTTGTACAAAGTCAGAGGTAGCTGTCCTACTGCTGGGTTGTTGCCCTCCTACGCCTCCTTCACATCTCCTGGAGTACTGGCCTGTCACTTGGTAGCACCTCCAGGTTCTTGACACTACGCTGGCAGATACAGCAAACTTCAACCAACACACTACCTGAGCCACGTGTGTTGGTTGAAGAGTCCATCTCACGCTAACATGGCTGTGAAAGCATCACCAACATTCAAAAGTGACCAAACCATCAGCCAGAAAGCGCAGGTACTGAGAAGTGGTCTGTGGTCCTGTGATGGACCCAGCAGTATTGACAGTCATGTACAGTTGTATTGAAAAAAAAAAACAGTTTTTTTTTTTATTCATCCCAAAAAAGATTAAATGTTGCAAGTAAAAAATCGATCCAAAAATGAGGGCAAAGATACAAAAACTACTCAAAATAACCAGTAACAAAACTAACTCAAAAAAACTGACCTGCCTTATTGAAACAAAGAGAAACTTAAATAGTGGCTGATCAGCTCACAAAAGAAACACATGGGGCAAAACCTACACAAACCTAACTAAACCAAATGGAGAAAAACCCCATTTCCCCCCATAGCACTGAGGTGGTATAGTCCAAATTAGATCAGCCCCTCAGAGAAGTAGAAACTTAACAGAATCCTTACAGAACAGCGCAAACCCAAATGTGCACACTAATTTTTCCTCTCCACTGTCGCTACAAGCATGCTTAATGTGAGGGATTGCATTCGAGTCAATGAGTCGATGCAATCAACTAGTTTTCCTTAGATAGAAAACCTTTAATCAGTTTGACTGTATGATCTGGTTGAACTGTAAAGTGCCTTCAGATGACATGTGTTGTGAATTGGCGCTATATAAATGAACCGATTTGAATAGAAATTTTGAAATACAGTGCAATAGTGATAAATAAATACCAAGTAAGCTTCCTAAGTGGACGTTTTGATGCCCCTCCAGAATTTTCTCGGCCTGTGTGGACTAATTATTTGACCTGTCCTAAAAATGGCTTTAACTTTCTTTTCTGGCATCACATGATCTTACTGTTAAGCTGCTTTCTTTTATTCAAACAAACCTTTTTTTTTTCTTAAAATCTTCTCTTTTTCCTGGTCATTATAACATGGTGACCAACCCTATTTATAAGACATATACCTCTATATGTTGATTATTAAATAAAAGGCACTTTACCCAGGACATTGTAGACATCAAAAGAGAGCATGAAGGATGTACTTATTTTTGGCACAGCCAGAAATGTATCGCCCTGTTGAGGAGGGATGTTTTTAGTCGAATGTAGTTTGATACTATAGATGAGGAATTTACTTCCTCATCTTGTCAGTTCAACTCAGGACTAACTTGTTGTCACCCTGGTTCATATCATAACCAAACACTTAGATATAATATGCAAAAGTACCGTTTCAGTATTTCTTATTTGCATTTGATGCAAGTGGAAATTTTGGCAGCAGAACTGATCCAAAAGGGTTTAATCCAACCTTCAGAGATGTGTTTTTAGATGTTTTCCTCCATGGTTGCAAACTCAGATCCTTCCTGCCTACAACAATTTGCATCTGCAAAAACTCCCTAAAATAAAAAAAAACCTATAACCATTGTAACAGCATTTCATTTAACCTTCAAATCTACACAACATTTGGATACGAATATGAATAGTTAAATCAAATCCATGCAGATTGAAAAACTCTGAAACCATTTTACTATCTTAACTGAAACCCAGGTCTGTGGGGTTTTAAGGAAGTCACTAAATGAACAGATTAAAAAAGGTCTCTGAATGAGTAAATAATTAATTTTTTTTTGCATTGGTGCTGTTCCAAACATGGTCTTAGTTGTTCCAAAATCATATTGATAAATTCAAAGAAAACACGCTACACAGGCATAAGGAATGTAATATTGTGTAACCCATGATCTTAATCTTTCTATTTCTGCCTCCATCAGGGTGGTCTTTCAGTGGACTGCCTTTCCGACCTCGTAGAGAGCCAGTCTCGCCTGTTGGAGGCGCTGCAGCTCTCACACCCCGCGGAACTGGAGTTAAAGAAATCAGCTTCTGAAGGGAGAACCCAGACCAAGCTGAGCCTCAACCCCATCTACAGACAGGTGCCTCGAGTGGTGGAGAGGTGCTGCAGTCATATTGAGAACTATGGTGAGACTTGATGACTCTCTGGTCATCCAGCAGTCCCTTCAGCACAAACCCCAAACAGTAAATCTTCACAAATCTTGTCACCAGGTCTCCAGACTGTTGGCATCTTCCGAGTTGGGAGCTCTAAGAAAAGAGTTAGACAGGTGAATATATTTCCTTTCTCTTTTAAAGCATACATTATAAGATTTCATATATTGTTCTGCACAGACATCAATTCAAAACCATAAATAAAGAATAATACAAAGAAACAATATCAGTTGTGTAAGATGCAAATTGTTTTAGTCTTATAAATAAAAACTGTGATGCACTAGTCTTAAAGATATAGTGGACCACAAAGGACCACAGGTAGGATATAAACCCAGGTCAGCCATGTAGAGGACTATAGACTCCGTACATGAGTCGTGCACATTAATCACTGCTCCACCAAAGCACACCTTGAAAATGCTCTTTTTCCGGGTGGATCTTCTTTTAAACAGAGCGTGCACGAGGAGAAATGGGTTCGTGCACGCTCTCACATGCGTTTACCACCCCCCATGGACATTGTCTTCAATTTAATGTTTCTTTTAGCAATAACTGTGCAATATTTATTGATGTTACTTCTTGCAATAACTCATTGCAATATATACGTATATATATACTTGTTTACCTTGTATATAGCTAGCTCTTAGTTATAGAAAACATATTTATTGTGCAGGAATAAGGTCTTAGCTCTGTTACACTGGTAGCCAAGTAATCGACATTTCATCATCAAGATTCACCTTGTGTTTTTTTGTGCAATGACAATAAAGGAAGTCTAAGTCTAATATGCGTTCCCTCTCGGAAGCGTACAGGGTTGTGCATTTCTTTCTTTTTTTTAAGTGTAGAGGGGGCGGGTCTTTTCAAACATTTGCAAAAAACCTCCACTCCACCTTTAATCATTATTTATATGTACATATGTTTAATTAAATCAATAACAATCCTACAAGTGGACCCTAAAAAAAGTTACTTCCATAAAAGAAAGATCTTCTTTCAATGCAACGTAACAGCTGTTTATTATCATAGGTCATTTCTTTTTTTAACTGATATGAATGTTTACATTTTTAGAGGGTGGGAGTTGTAAAGCAGAGTCTTTTTAAGTGAAACCAAATGTCAAAAAAATGTCCTTTTGGGGAGAGACAGAAAAAAATAAAATATACCAGGTTTTTTTTTAAGTGCAAGACAGGAACTGGGTTAAAGTCAAAAGTTCATCCATCAAATATTTGCGGTATTTTAGCCTCACATTCCTGTTTGTCGTAATTTTTTTTACAGAGAAGCGTAACTGGAATTAATAGGTTTCAGCAGAGAATGGAAATGATTTGGGTTATTTAAATCATGAAGAATTCACTTGCAAATCCAGTGAGGGTAAATTATAGAGACGGCAGCGAACACTTCAAACTTTTATGGTTCCCTAGAAAGAAAACATTATTGAAAAGAAAGTTCAAGCAAAGAAAAACAGATCAAAACACAATTCTCTGCAGGAGATTAACATTTTCTATGTATTTATATAACACTCAACCAGAAGGTTTGCAATGCTAACCCTCTTGAAATCTCAAAACCTAAACTTGGACTTGAGCTTAAGGGAGTTTTACCTCCATTAACTTCTTGATTGTGTTATAACAGGTTGTATAGTCTGCAGAAAACTAAAATAAGGTCAAAACAGAATGTAAAATTGCTGTTTTGGTCCAGAAATATGTTTTTATTTTAAGCATTACGACCCAAATCTGACTGGGATTCATTAAAACTCCTGACCATAAACACCAGAGCTCTGCTCCCTGCAGCGCCTCCCGTCCCCTGTTTCACTCTGTGCTCTTTCCTGTCACTCTCCACTGGATGCTGCAAAAATAGGAATAATCCTCAAACTGATGAAGTGAGATATCCTGTTATTTAGAAATATTATCCACTGGGGGGATATTGGCCCCCGTTTAACCCCAGCTGAGGCCTTCCCTTCACATGCATTTTCTTTCAATGAACCAGCTCCTTTGGGTTTTTAGCATTTGTTGATAAAATTTGTAACTTTGCATTTGGTTTTTGCTTCTGCTCCAATAGCTGCGTGAAGACTTCGACATGGGGGTGGACGTCCAGCTGGACGAGGAGCACAGCGTGCACGACGTGGCGGCGCTGCTCAAAGAGTTCCTGAGGGACATGCCTGATCCTCTACTGCCTCGAGAGCTATACCCCGCCTTTCTCCACGCTAACTGTACGTGAATATGCTATATTCATTACGTTCCAGAAAATAGATAAAAATGAGTAGAAAGAATATAACAAAATGTAAAGAGTTTATAAATCTGTTGTTCGATGCTATGCTTTGTTAGCTTGTGGTGCAGCGGGTGATCAAAACCAACAAACCTTTTCATCCCTGTGTTTCATATAGTGCTACGAGGAGCAGACCAGCTGCAGTACCTCCAGCACCTCCTTTACCTGCTCCCTCCCTGCAACTGCGACACACTGCTGCGCCTCCTCTCCATGTTGCAGACCGTGCAAAGCTACGCCCAGGACACCATAGGAACCAACGACGAGGAGGTAGGCCATCCAAGACCTTTTATTTAAATTTGCATTAGCGATGCAAGAAGGCTTACAAAAATCGTTGTCTACTTGTGTCAAAAATCCAAATGGAATTCAGGCTTACTGAAGTTTATGCAGACAAGTGGTATTCCTAAAGTGGTGAAAGATATTTGTCTTGTCTTTTTTTCTGTCAGCCTTTTAAATTGTATTCTTTGCAGCAAATGTAACCAAAAAAAAGAAAATGAATCTCATTCTTGCCTTTCCAACCTTTACCTCCATTGCTTCCCTCCATCATCCTCCCTGCAGATACCTGGAAACAAGATGACAGCTGCCAACTTGGCCGTGATCTTTGGGCCAAACCTGCTTCAGAGGGAGACGGGGGGAGACGTGAGTCCTCAAGCGATGGGTATAGAGGACAGCACGGCCATCATCAGTATTACGCTGGTGCTCATACAGAACTACAAGAGGCTGTTCACGGTATATATATCTATAGGCATCCCCACTGTGTTTGTTTGATTCTTCTTCTGTGTTTGGGGACTAAAAGCTGACTGATGTTTTTTGACTTTGCAGGTGTCTGCAGAGCTTCAGCAGGAGGTCCTGATGAGTCTGATCCAGACTGATCCAGACGTCATCGACTATCTCTTACGTAGGAAACTCAGGTAGGCCTTCTAAGATCCACTATTGGGTTGAGTTTCAATATTTTCTGGTTTGTTTTAATCACCAATCCGTGGCTTCTTCTTCTTTTTTTTTTTTTTACAGTGGTAGTCACCTGACAGTAGAGGGCAGCAGTGAGTCAGGGGGCAGGCGGGACACTGGGGCCTCTTTAGACTCTGTGGGAGCCTCGAGTGGAAGTTTGTCTCCTCTTGAGCCCCCATCACCGCTTTTCCCTCCAGATGGGAATGGTGGCGAAGGCAGTTTAACTAGTGAGGTCTTCCTCAACGTCCTCAAACTGAACCAGAACAGAAATCGGCCGGAGGGACGATACGGTACCGATTTCATTAATATTTGAAATGTTTAACAACATGTCTGTTGTCAATTTGTGCAAAACCCCCAGGATAATGATTCTTACTTGGGCTGAAAGA